TCTTTAGTACCCAATTAAGTTTCCTGGATATTTTGCTTTATCGGTAGTCTTTAGTACTTTACGTGAAGAAAAGAGGGTTTTATATAGTTGCAATAAAAAATATATTAAAAAGATATAATGATAATTTAGTATTATATTATATATTAATCTTAATAACCATTTTATAATAAATATATAATAAATAAATAATATATTAGATAAATAATAAATAAGTAATAATACAGACATAATAATAAATATATAATAATAAATATATAATAATAAATATATAATAATAAATATATAATAATAAATATATAATAATAAATTTAAAATAATAATTCAATACAATTACTCTATGACATCCAATTCATTAATTTTTGTTTATTTTTTTTTTATAAATAGGAATGCTGTGCCGTTGGTTCAAATATTTATATGAAGCTGAAGTTATAGAGGAAGAGCCATTCATAACATGGAAGGATGAAATATCTGATACCTATCCAGGCAAAGGAACAGCTCTATTCCAAGTAAATACTTGGTTGACATGGTTACAAGAAGCAGAATCGGAGGATGATGACGATTAAACTCAACCGCATTCTGCAAAATTAAAGAATCTTCAATAGATTTATTTACTATAAGGCTCTTCGAAAAACAAAAAAAAATATATATATATATAAAATAATATAAAGAAAAATGGTATACATAAAAATCAACTAATGGAACGTATCAGCTCAACTTTACACAACAATTGTTTTCAACTTTTGTTCTGTGTAAACGTAGACATCTAAAAATATTTGCTTTAAGTCAATTGCCAAGTGCAAAGCAAATGCTGTTTTTAAATAAAATAATTTCAATAAATGAAAATAAAACCAAACAAAAAAAAAAAAAAGGAATCGTATGACAACAAATTATCTCCATGTATTAAAAATTTGTAGTCTTTCATTATTTATTTTGTATAACTTCTGTTTAATCATTTTTTTTTTCATTCAAAAAATTCAAACTGAACCAAACAAATTGATCAAGCAATAAATAATTGGACTTATTTTGTAATATGTAACAAATAATGCTGTATTTAGTAAAATTATAAATTCTGTAAAAACAATTTTCAATAAACACAGTAAAAATTTCTTGCAAAATCAATAGAAAATAATGTACTCTTCATACCTATGTTAAATTATAATGTATTTAATATAAAAGATTATTAGAAAAAAAGTACACAATACATTGGTAATCCATTTCGAACGACTATACAGAAATTTAAAAATCAATAAAGCGGAAAAATCAGCGATTCGCTAATGTGATGTTTTTTTTTTTTGAATTCAGAAATAGGTCAAAGCCAAAGTTAATAGGAAAGATCGTTAATAGTACAAACTTAGTTGTCCATAGTGCACCACCCAACGATCAAACAAGTTCATCTGAAGCTTAATTGCTTTTTTCACATTTTCGAGTATCGAAAGTAATTAGTGATGTGGAATATGAAATCTACTTAGATATTCGAAAAAATGTGGTGAGCACAAATGTTTAAATTGGTAATGTATTTATTTGTTAACAATTTCACCGCACAACTTTTTATTTTTGAATAGAATTGTGCAATTATATCTTAATTAGATTTATTTGGTTATAAATTCTTTATTTAAATACTTATTTTAGTACAAGTAATCGATATTGGAAGGAAATATTACAGTTTCCTATAATACAATTATGACAATTGTGATATTCACAAAAACTCTTAAATGCAGTATAAACTCTCAATTTGTTGGATCCATTATTTCGAATGTATTATTGAAATATATGTTAATATAATACATATTACGAAATATATATTAATATAATTTATATTATGAAATATATATATATATAATATATATTATGAAATATATACATATAATATCTATTATGAAATATATAAGCTACAAAAATATGTTTAGGGCAGTCACTTTATAGGCACTATAGGTAGTTTCGCTTTATTAGCAAAATTGGGGTGGTGTGCGTTTGCATAGTCCCAAAATTTAAAGAATTAATAGTTTGAAATCAAATTAAACGGATGTGCAAAGAAAACCTTTCATTGAGGTAGATAAGTTAGCATATAATTGACGCTTTTTGTGTATTAGTTATTTAGCATATAGTTTAGCATGCTAAATAAAAATCATAAGAAGTCTATTGTAATTTTTTTAATGCAATTTTTGGAGCAGTAAACTAAAAATATTTAGTTTGTCTTTTTTTAAGTCAAGTTTTTAGAAATAATTTTTTTTATTTTGTATATTATATTTCATAATTACATAATTACTTTTTTATTGTAACGGAAAAAATTGCAATCATTACATCATTCCTATTTTGCGGTCACGCCAGGTTGGCATTGCATTTTAGAGAAGTCAGCAATAAAGTTAATAAACTTTTAGATATCAGCCTTTAAAATTTAACATTTTTAAATGAAAACCACCAACAAATAGACTTGCAAGATATTACCCGTACTTTCTGTAATTAAAGTAGAAATTGCATGGGAAAGTGGGTGCAGTTTTTTTTGATAATGTATTCAATTTAAGTCCAAAACTCTTACAAATAATATCTCAAGAAGTAAGCTGTACCTATATGATGCAAATAAAAATCTAAAATAAATAAAATAATATTTAAATAATAAAATAACAATATATATTAAATTTTCACAATGGTAACACCTAATTTACCTAATTTTTATCTAATTTACTCTACTCAAAATTCTGGTAAATACCAACATTCGCCGCCATACCGACATAATTTATTATTCTCTCTATTTACTATCAATTTACACGAACTCGCATACGACCTAAATATTTTTACAAACAAACCACATATAAATGATTTGTACTCGGTATTCACATTTCAAAGTAATCGAATGATTTCCTTTAATATCATTAGCAAATTGTAAACAATCATTGCTTTATAATATTTGTGCATAAAAACAAAAATTGTTAAAATATGGAAGAAAAGCTTGAAAATATTGAAACATCCAAGTCCACATTTAAGTCTAGTGCAGGTGTTATTGAAGTTGGTGAAAGAAAAATCATTTTACGTGTACTTAAAATGGGTCGTGCCACTTTGCTCTTCATAAACAACACCCAACCGGAAATTATTGACCAAATGGCACTGGCAATGTGTATGCGGAATAGTAATGAAATTGTGTCCACTGCAATACTAGGAGATGAATTAGAGTCACAGAGTTTTGCAGAAAAATTATGTAAACGCTTTGGACGTCCTTTCTATGTCAGCTACAATATTCAAGCGGATCGTTTAAACCGTGCACTCTTAGATCAAAACATAATGGAATATATACGCAATCATGAATCGGAATTTATTTGAGGACCTAACGAGTCTAATTGAAAGTAAAATGTATATAAAAATTTTTTTAGTTTAAAAATAAAATAAAATCAAACATATTTATAGAAAATACTGCTCTAAATATTGTAATAATTTATTAATAAACTGTCACGGTGACGTCGTGGAGGGTCATTCATGGAGATTGCATTTTGGTACTATTTTTGATCGCTTCTCGTAGGGTTTTAGTTGAGACCCCACAGAGTTTATGCTATGCGGATGCATGCTAATGTTCCAATCATTTGCAATGTTGTGTAGGCCGCGAGAAAGTCGCATTAGTTTTTTATTCATTTT